ATGAATTATGGATGTCGAAAGTAGAGACTTTAAGCTTTAAAATGCTTTTTTGACCATTCCGATACGATCATTTTTGACGAAGTTACACTTTCTTGAAATTTGCCTATTTTTAGTGATCAGAATGAGTGATGCTTTAATTTTGCTGTCGAGTGTATATACACTGGTCAAAAAAACTAAAGGATCACCTGTTCTAGCCTCTAAAAATAGGCGTACTTCAAGATAGAGCAACTTCGTTAAAAATGATCATATCGAGATGTCCAAAAAACCATTTTACAGCTTGAAATCTCTACTTTCCAAATCGGTACTTGAGAAAACGATCCTACTGATCTTTCATGGAATTACACGGATAGAAAGGGAGACCCGACAAATCTCAAAATTTTTTACAAACTTTGACAAGTTCCATGGCGTGGAATAAAAATCGCACACAAATGCAGTTTACTGCTTTCAAAAGAGTGAATCTTTCCCTTTAATTTGCTTTTTTGTTGAGCGTTGTAAGATTTTTTTTTACCGAGTTATTCAACATTGAAGCAAAAAGGACCAGTACGTATATATGTAAGTATATCTTTACTTAAGCTTTCTGAAAATGTTAGTAAAATAAACATTAAATTTTTAAACAAAAAATATTTAGAAATATATATAAAAACTATACTTACGTTCAATTTAAAACAATTATATAAATAATAATCTTGCCTTTGAAAACGTCACTGTTGAAACGACTAAGAGAATTATGAGAGATGTTTAAAAATAGCAAGTGTTGTACATCGGAAAGAGCATTATCCTCCATATGAGATAATTCATTACCGCTGAGGTCCAATTGTAACAATGACTCACCGAGAGTATTAAAAGCATCTCGCGAAAGAGAACCTATGAAATAAAATAATGATTAAGCAAGCAATAGTTTAATGTTTGCACATTGAAAAAATGTATTAATCATTAATAATTACAAAATTATTTATATAAAATATTTATTAGAATGTAATAAAAGACTTTATGTGTAAATATAAAAATATAAGTACTTAAATTTTTTATTTTTTTATTTTAAAATAATCTCTTAATAAGAAAACGCAAACAAGTGTTTAAACGTAAACAAATTTAAAAAATATTTAAAAAATTAAGAACTATTGTTTATATTTAAATTTAAAGAAATTTTTATATTATTATTATTATAAAGTACTCTTAAAACCAATTAATTCTTATTAAAAAATTTTTCTTAAGTTTTTATAGTTTAGATAATATTAACTTCGAAAGAAAATAATTAATTATTTTCAAGGGAGATTTCGTTTCCTTAACATGCAATTGAAAACTTATGAAAAATATGTGTTTCTTTTTTTATTTATATTTTAACATATTCAAAGCTTATTAAAATCAAAGAGAAACACACTTGATTATATTTCCTTGTAAGTAATTTAGAATGTTAATCAATCTCTTGTAATTTTGCTAAAACATTTAAATATTATTGGCTTAGGTATTAAAGTATTTGCTTCCTTTCCCGTTACGATTTTGATGATCTTAGAATACATGGTATAAATTAAAGTAAAAAAAAAATATGAATTTTTCATAAATAGTTATCCATACGTTAAGAGGTGAATCATTCTTTTGAAAAAAGTACTAGTATTGCATTTGTATATCGTTATATTCAATTATTCTAATGAACTTCTTTATTTTTTCGGATAAACTTTGATTCTAAACTAATGTGTTCGACAATAGCAAAAAATTGTACCAAAATTCCGATTATTAAATATAAAAAATAACTTCGAAATAAAAGGCTATGGAAGTAAGCGCGGTAAATGATGCGCAAATTAAAAACCTTAATTATCTGAAAAAGAATATTTAATGAGATAAATTACATAATAAAAACGACTATTCGAATATTTTGGTTGACTTTTTCAGCCATCCTCAGGAAATACAATACAGAATAAAAATTAAATACGTTAGTTGTAAACAGATTAAAACATACATAATTACGATGTAAGACGCAAATACATATTGTCTAAGCTCGTTGAAAAACCAAGTGGATAGGAATGCGTTTTTTAAAACCACAATTGTAATAAATAAGAAATTCGAAATTTTACATAAAAATCGTTAATGTTAAAAAATGTATAAATTAAAAAAAGGATTTCATAATCAATACAATAAAACAATAAATTAAATAGTTTGCTTGAAAATTTCGAATCCTTGAAACAAATTTTTCGTTTACTCTTTACCTATAATTTTATTTCTAGTTCTTAATCATATTGTGAATTAAATTCTATTGTAAACATACCGATATTATTGCCTGCCAAAGATAGCACCCTAATAGCATTTAATCCTTTCAAAGAAGCAGTGGGCACCACAGTCAAATTATTACCATCGAGATATAGCTTTTCTAAGTTAACGCATCCTTTTAAAATTCCTTCCTCAATGCTTCTAAGACCATTTCTGCTAAGATCGAGAACCTTAAGCTCTATCATGCCATGGAATTCATTACTGGAAAATATTGGATTTAAATTTTCGCCCAAAAGATTGTCAGCTAGTCGCAATTCTTGCAGTTCACTTTGCATCTGTAGCATGCGGTCCATCAGCCGATAGATTGAGTTACTCGACAAATCCAGTCTTCTAAGATTCAAGTCAGAATTAATGAGATTTTCCGGTAAAGTCTGATAACCGCAGTTTCTCTGACTAATTGACACAATTGATTGATCACGTAAGCTGTTTATGCTATCTCGCGTGAAAATTACTCGGTCGCAATTCATTTCAATTGATCGTGGGTAATCCGTGGATACGGTACATTTGCAAGGTATTACGAGATCCCGCTTTAATTCGATGCATGGCCTCCATTGTGCTTGATTCAACGGAAAGATACCTGATAATAAAAGAGTCACCAACAGGCACGAGCTGAAAATAATTAAAATGTGATAAAAAAAATGTTTATGTGAATATAACATTATAATCTTTCTTTTAATATTGGAGTGATATATTGTTCTATGTTATACACTTATAACATTGTGCGATACGGATTTTAGATCACGATCGGGACAAAATAATTTTACAATTTTTTTGTTGCTTAATAAATTTGTAAATAAAATTGTTATATACCTATCACATCATGTTTATGAGAAAATTAAAAAGTGTCGAAAATAGCATTTTTTTAGCATTTTTGAGTCAAAATATCTCAAAACCATGACGTGATAAAGCAATTCATTTACGGATTCGTTTTTGTAGCAATAAAAATCTATAAAAGTCATCTATTATATTGGTTGCTTTATGCAAAAAGCATAAATGGTTACAATAAAAAGAACTTAAATCCGTAAATAAATATAACACTTTGAAGACTAATATACAATTTGTTTCAATTTTTTAAAATTTTGTATTTTTTTATAATAAATGGGCGGAAAAATAAATGTACAATGCAAATACACTTTTTTTAGCAGGTGTTCCAGTTAGTTTTGAGGGCTCACTATAGAAGGTTCGCTATGGCGGTAATGAATCTACTGGAGATATTTTAAAAATTGATACGCCTTAGACATTTTTCTACATATATTTTGACATATGTTTTGAGCATTTGTAAACATAATCATACTTAAATTTTTAATGCAATTAAACATGCAATAAAGGTAATTTTATTTATTATTTTACTGCTTTGATTCGAAGAAAATGGCTCACCATTTATTTCAGAAATTTATTATGCTCCATCATTAAAACATGTGAGTAACTGCATGGTTTCGACAATTCAAAAGTGATTTTGATTTGAATAAAAAAATTCGAAGACGGCGAATTGCAGACATTGTTGGATGAAAACTCAGCTCAAATGCTTGAAGAATTAGCTGAAGCATTAATTATTAATAAATCAATATATTTCTAATTGATTATCAGATTTCTACTGCGAAGGCAATAGGAAAAATTAAAAAAGAAGGCAAGGACAAATCCCTTAAACCGGAACACCTAATATATGTATTATTTCTAGAATTCAATTTGCTCTTTTTTGGAGAATAGAACAGATTTTTTAATTTTGTTGAGTAGTATTTAAATTTAAATTGGAAGGAATTAGGTTCCAAGAATAAATTAGAAATGACAAAGTAATGTCAATGCGAGCTGACACGGATGTTGGTGTATATAATAATTATTGTATATTGTAAGAATAAAGTTTTTATTGTTACAATATCTAGCTACACAACTGCGCACCGCACATTTTGTCATTTCTAATACAATATTTATTAGTATTTTTTTTATTATAATATGTGTGTTTTAATACGGCCACAACCTTGTGAAAAATGAACTACTAGTGCAGTGAAAACCCTACTAAAATGTAGTAGTGGCACTGTTGGTATAACAGTGACACTACATTTCAATAGTGTTCTCACTGCACTAGTAGTTCATTTTTACGAGATATCTTTTGATATATGTCAATTGTGACAGTTACGATTTTGGCTGTATGCGCATAGAGGATTAATGTTACCTGTATATCTTTCTTTGTCACATATATCTTTGACACTTTTAAAGTGTACAAAATGAAGACAATGTACACTCCATATATGTATGTTCTTAGAGAGAAACTATTAACGATTTAATAGGTAGATCACGTAACATAGTTAACATAAATAAATATTTAAATAGGACGTTTTTTATTTTGTTGATCAAAATCCTCTTTGATACATTGGATTTATCCGAAATCAATTATTATAATAAATAAACCTTGTGAATAATATGTTACACTGTGGGTAGGGTGTAACGGGAGAGGGGACTCGTGGTGATAGGTTGTTGAAAGGATTTACTCAGTCGAACTGTTTAACACAACGACTTTATTCTAAATACTAATCTCAGAATTTAATCACTCGCGTAATACGCGCACCGACAGCGTAACATACTATGTACAATAAAATTAAGAACTCCGCAGTGGTCTGCCGGACGGCGGGTTTTATCCCATCTCAAGTGGGCCACTGCACTGCTCAGCAGTTGCAATTATTACTTAATTGCAACGGCCGCAGTTTTTGGAGGACGCACGCATTGAGGTTGCCGAAGTCCTGCGTTGGCGTCCTCAATTATTATGGGTCACCGTTGCAATATTAGATTACAACAACGACCTGCTTATTGCTAAGTGTTACGTGGGAGCGTCCCGTTTGACCACGTCCCGATTGACCACGGCCACTCACAGCGGCCGGTGCCTAGAGATT